ATGTGTGTGTGTGTGTGTATGTGGGGGGGAGAGAGAGAGAGAGAGAGAGAGAGAGAGAGAGAGAGAGAGAGAGAGAGAGAGAGAGAGAGAGAGAGATCAGGTTCACGAGTGGGGGACATGAAGGTATTGAAGGATGACTCTGTCGCTGATTTTGGCCCGCAGTAGTGAACCCCATATATTTTTGTTTTTTTCTTGTTCTCCTTTCTTTCTTTCTTACTTTGTTTTTTTTTTTTTTTTCATTTTGATTTTATTCTTCTTCCTTTCTTCAAGTTTCTTTCTTTCTTTCTTTTTTTCCGAATGATCGACATTTCGGTGGGCTCTAACGGCGGAACCTGTTGGCAGTTGTCTCTACTGTCGTAGTCCCAGACCTTTCAGCCTCGTAGGTTTTTTCGTTTCCGCCCTTTTGAAGACTCGTAGCCACCCGGAGGTCTATCTAATGTGTGTCCTAGCCTTCGGTCCACTTACTGTAGGTTTCCATGTAAATGCATGTACTTTGGATCTTTACCAAAATGCGCTCGTAGATGTTTGCCGTTTGGACGGTTGTGTAGGTCTGTAGGTGTGTGGTGCGTTGTACATCTAGTGAAGTTGGGTACAAGTAGGCCAGTCGTTGAATTAGGGGTTGTTATCGTTGCTTTTCTTACCACGGGCTTGGTGGAGGTCTCATTGTCTGTCTGTTCTGTTGTTGTGGAAATGTACGCAAACCATCACAGTATCCCTATGTGAGTGTTCACTAAGTGTGTTTGTTGTTTCCTTTCTCTGGCTCTACATTCTTTCATCCAGTGACATGTAATATATATGCTTGGTTTGTTAGCATCGACCCCTCTTCTCCCTCTTTCACGTCTGCACGCGCTTCTCTCTTTCCCACCCTCTGTCTGTCTGTATTTTTTGTGTTGCGGTCCTGACCATTTTCGGAGTGTATATTCGGCAGAAAGTTCAATGGCGTCCAATTGCAAAAAGAAATGTTTAAACATGAGGGGAGAGAGAGAGAAAAAGGTGATTCCGAATCCTGCTTCCTCCCTTTTATTCAAACAAAAAAGAACAATAATAATGTTGAATGGTTGAACATCATCTATGTTGCATTGACGAATCTCTACCGCAGGAAGAAATCCGCATAGGTCAAAGATATGCATGGACAACACAAAGCAGTTTTTGGTCTGTCTGCTCCGTCTGTTGTGTCTGTCTGTCTGTCTGTCCATTTGTCTGTCGGTCTGCTATAGTTTGTATGTCTGTATGTATGTCTGTCCGTCTGTCTGTTTGTCAGTTTGTCTGTCTGTCGCCTTGTCTGGTCAGTCAGTCAGTCAGTCAATCAGTCTGTTTGTCTGTCTGTTTGTCCGTCTGTTTGTCTGTCTGTCTCTCTGTCTGTCTGTCTATCTGTCTGTCTGCCTGTGTGTCTGTGTGTCTGTGTGTCTGTCTGTCTGTCTCTTTCTTCGTTATCTTACTTTCTCTTTCGTTCTTTCTTTCTTTCTTTGTCTAACGTGTTTCTTTCTTTTTTCTTTCTTTCTTTCTTTCTTTCCTTCTTTCTTTCTTTCTTTCTTTCTCTTTCTTTCTCTTTCTTTCTTTCTTTCTTTCTTTCTTTCTTTCTCTTTCTTTCTTTCTTTCTTTCTTTCTTTCTTTCTTTCTTTCTTTCTTATCACCTGTCTGTCTGTCTGTCTGTCTGTCTGTCTGTCTGTCTGTCTGTCTGTCTGTCTCCTA